TCTCTCTCTCTCTCTCTCTCTCTCTCTCTCTCTCTGCCCCCTCTCTCCCCCTGCCCCGTGTGTGCGTGTGTGGTGTGTGTGTGTGGGGTGTGTGTGTGTGTGTGTGTGTGTGTGTGTCTCCAGCATCTCACTGTGTAAGCCTAGCTGGCCTGGAACTCTAGAATTTGCTATGTAGACCAGGCTGGACACGAACTTCTGGCGATCCACCTGCCTTACTCCAGAGTGCTAAGATCAAAGGTATGTGTCACCATACCTGGCTACCAATCCTGATCTTAACCCAGTCTGAGAAATACCTTTGGGTCTTTTATTATTGTTGTTGTTGCTGCCGCTGCTGTTGTTATTAGAACATGTGGGAGCAGGTAAAAAGGAAGGGTAGTGTTTATCCATTAGTTACTAATGTATTGGGTGCCAGCCATGGGTCAGACCCTCAGAATAAAGGACTGAGGGAGAAGGGAGAGTAGGAGAGATTGCATCCTGAGAGCTGGCAACCCTAGGCTTTTGGTTTAAAACAAGCAAAGTCACATGGTAGTGTTGACCCTGACAACTGGAATAGCCGGTCCACTAGCACCAGGACCCACAGAATTCCTAGAGAGTCTCACCCCAGCCTTGGAGGAATTATGAATGAAAACAGAAGAAAACTCCACCAGCCACATCTGGGAAGATAGTGGCATTGCATCCCAGCCTAGGCCCTAGGGTAGGTGGTCCTGCTACACACACATGTTACTGCATTCACCACACTGTCCACAGCTCATCTTACTTTTATGATTTAAAAAAAAATCCTCAGATCATACATATTCAGAAGTCATGGCTCTAAACTAGAGAACATGGTGAACCAGGAAGAGATAAAGACCAGAAAAGAAGGTGGCAGGCTTGAGGTTGCACACATAGCTCAGTGGTGTAGCAATTGCCTACCAAGGGTTTCTATGCCCAGTATTGGAAAGGGCATATTGTGTTTTATAAGAATGCCTTGGCATTCTGCACTGTAAGGAACTGGCTTGCACTGTTAACAGTCTGCTTGTTCTGAATCAACTTGCTCCCAACCCAGACCCCCTGGAAGAGTAACAGGAGAAACCAGCTTGATTCAAGGTTTTAGGAAGTGCTCAAGCCAAGCCTACACATGCACAGAGTGAGAGAGGAACACAAGGGGTACGAGAAGCACAGGTGTCACAGGCTTGACAGTGGAACAGAGCGTCAAGACTGAACTACACACACACATACACACATACACACACATACACACACATCACACACATACATCACACACACACATCACACACATACACACACCACACATACATACACATATACACACACACACTCACACACACATTCACACACACATACATCACACACATACATCACACACACACATCACACACACATACACATACACATCACACACACACACATCACACATACACACACACATCACACATACCACATACACACATCACATACCACACACACACACATCACACACATATCTCACACACACACAAAATTAGAGATCAGAGAGCAGACTAAAGATAAAATGTACTTTAAATGTGCAAGCAACCAAGTTATTATATGCATACACATGGCATAGTAGCATGAAAACCAAACAAACTAGAGGCTAGTGCGGATGGGAAATTATTTCTATAAATCTTTACATATAAACATTATACTTGGACCATGTGAACTTATAATCTTGAAAAATATCACTGACTTATTTGAATCCTAAAGACTGATATTTAAGCCGGGTGGTGGTGGCACACACCTTTAATCCCAGCACTTGGGAGGCAGAGGCAGGCGGATTTCTGAGTTCGAGGCCAGCCTGGTCTACAGAGTGAGTTCCAGGACAGCCCGGGCTATACAGAGAAACCCTGTCTCGAAAAACCAAAAAAAAAAAAAAGACTGATATTTAGTAGTAATTCCCAGACAGATCTTGTTAGGAGGTAGTTTCCCGAGTTCAGCCATCTCAGAAACAAGTTCCATCCTGCTGGAAGGATCAAAACTGAGTTCATATTCTCAGGCCCAGAACCCAACCCTGTCCTGCTTCTTCAGGTATTTCCTGTTTGTGTGTTAACCAGTAAAGAACGTAAGGAGAAAAGATGCTGTCATCCTGCAATCTAAACTATGGCACACAAGTCTAATGTGCTGCCTGTCTTGACTTAAGCTTACCACTGCAGCTTGCCCACTCCTTTGTTCCCTTATCAGTCTAAACTTCCTGGCCAGAGTCCAGGAAGGGACCTGGCCGCCAAAGCAGGCTCAAGGACCCTGGAACCAGGTGACCCAGATAGGCCCAGTCACCAATGTTAACCTCCTTGCTTAACCCCTTGTGTTGAAATATGATTGGTCAATGCAACAACTTACCCCATGCCCCTTGCTTTGTGTTCCCACCCTATAAATATGTTGTACAATCTCCCTTCAGGGACACAGCTCAGATCCCGCCCAAACTGGCCGCCTCCCTGGTGGCTCAGAAAACAAAGTTTTCATTTTAAGCTTCTCTATCTGAAGTGAGTTTTCTCAGCTCCCACCCTAACCAAACAATCTCAATCAAAATTGAGGTGTAGGACTAGGGGTATGGCTTCAGTCAATAGGGTGTTTGCCATATGAGCCCCAGTGTGAAAGGCTTGGCTCTGTAATCCAGGGCTGAGAAGACAGACAAGAGGATCCCTGGGGCTTGCTGGCCAACCAGTCTAGCTAAACTGAAACATTCAGTGAGAGACCCTGTCTCAAAGACATAAGATAGAGTGCAGTCCCGACACTGACCACTGACCTCCAGGCCTCCATGTGCACGCGCGCGCACACACACACACACACACACACACACACTCATGCACACATTCATACATAGATAGATAGATAGATAGATAGATAGATAGATAGATAGATAGATAGATAGATAGATAGATAATCTAAATGGTTTCCTGCCTATGAAGATGCAGTTCACGCCCATCTCTCAGAGGGAATCCTGATGTTCCTATTTTACATGGCAGCCAATGGGGAGATCTCCACTGCCATCTCAGAATCCAGGGAAGCCAGGGCAGCTACCTTGTCAGTGATTTTCAGGTTGCAGCCAGCCTTCAGCAGTGTCTCCACCAGCTCCACATTTCCAAGATCAGCAGCAACGTGCAGAGGGGTCTGCTGTCTCTGTCATGAGAGAGGTGAACTGACACGGAAGCACACGCAGGAGAGAACGCCATATAGACTTTTGGGGTAGATGGGTAAAGCACATATCCTTATGTGGGCTCAGGTGTCTCGGCAGAATTTAAAATATTGAAAGATGGGAGGAAGTTATGGTTAGGGTCACAGGCAGTCCAAGCATCCAGAAATGGTCTCAGGCTATATGAGGATTTCTAGGTTAGATAAAAGCCTGGAACTTGTGAAACAGGTCCCCGCTACCATAGGAGTCATTTCCCTCATCTCTGACAGAAGGGACATATGGCTATCTGTGGCACCTATCAGCATATCAAAGCCCACCTGGGCCTCCAGGCTCCCTCAGTGTCACAAGTACCTGTTACACAGGTCCTGGCCCTTCCCTCTCCACACCCCTTCCCCTCAGCTACCTGTACTCCTTAGAATCCACATGATCCCCCCCTTTATCTTCCCCCTCCACTCCCTTGCTCTCTCTGTGCTCGTCCTCTATTTTTGGGGATTCCCTGCTCTCTGGCTGTCCACTCTTCTCCCCAGCATGCTCTCACGCTCTCTTGAAGATGGCCCTGGCCATGCCCAGCCTGCTTTCTTTTCCCTCTGCTCTAGATTCTTCCAGATGCCTTTGGATGTTCTCTCAGTGTTATTCACAATAAAAGCCTTCCCCCTAGTATTGGAGTGGCCCCGTCAGCAGTCTCTTTACTGTGCCCCGTCTCATACGGTTAGTCACATGTCTGGTAATGAGACATTATATAAACTGTATATAAATATATAGGAATACAACTATTGAATCAAAAGGTTTCCTTCAGTACAAGGCACCTAGAGCAGTCAAATTCATAGACAGGAAGAATGGTGTTTTCCAGGGGCTAGGGACTGTGAAACGGGAAGATCTGTGATGTCACAGAACTGTACACTTAAAAATAGTTTAAATGCTAACTAATGTCATATGCATTTTTACCATAATAAAATGGCTTCAAAGATTTCAATAAAGGAAAAACTATTTACGACATGATATTAAAAGCTTTAGGAGAGATCTAGAGAGATAGCTCAGCAGTTAAGAGCACTAACTGATCTCCCAAAGGATCCTGGTTCAATTCCCAACACCCACAAGCTCACAACTGTAACTCTAGTTCCAGGGAATCCCATACCCTCGCACAGACATACATGCAGGCAGAATACCAACGCACATAAAATAAAAATAAAGCAATTTTTAAAAAAGCTTCAGGAGACACTATATCTGGCTAAGCTTAATTCATAAACGCAGGAAAAACGAGAAACATACATTGATGCTATTAAAATAATATTAAAGAAGGGGATACTAAAGTTATTTTATTGCCTTTTTATTTTTTCCCCATTTTCTACATTACTATGTATTAAGAAGTAGAGACTGAATTTCTTAGTGGAGTCACTACTTTCTATCAAAAAAATAAAAGTGTAATCCACATAAACAGAGGATCATCACCCCGACCTCCTACAGGACAGACTGATGTGAAGACATCTGCACAGACAGGGGCCTTGATGTGATGTAGACCCACTCCTCCACCAGCAGACAGATCCGGACCCACTCCTCCACCAGCAGACAGATCCAGACCCACTCCTCCACCAGGCAGAGACAGCCACTTCCCTGGGTCAAGGGAAGCACAATAGCTTGAAGCACAAGAACTCTTCCTACCAAAAAAGGCAAAGCCAAGCTGTCATAGGAAAGCATGTAGAAAAGGCTGCCAGCAGGTGGCAGTGTGCCTCTCTGAGGGCTCATCACCCAGCACGGGAACCAACAAGCCTATGCAAAGGACATAGGCACAAATATGCTATGTCAACAAAAGCATGCTTTGACAATACCGCTCTCAGTCGAGAACACAGGAAACACCAAAACAAAAGTCGCCTTCCTTCAGTGGGACCAAATGAACATTTACTTTTTAAAACCATATTTATATGTCCTGATTTTATATACTTTATGCGAAGAATATAAATTCTATTATTTTGTATGTATATTACTGGTGTAACAAAAGTATGAACTGATATGGTTGAGTTGTGTAACTGACTGGCAGGCATGACAAACACTCCTCCCCAAAAGTGGATCAAGCCAGTTCTGGAGAAGCCAAAATCACACATGAACACAAGGCTTTGCCTGTGTAGAAAAGATTTGAAGCATTAGTAAGTTTGAACACACAAATACCTTTAATAAGCAGAGAGTTCTGCTCCCAACTTGTGGGCTGGTGCGACACAAAAGAGGTAGGCTCCCCGGGGGCGGGAGGGCAGAGTGCCCGTGAGTCTCCTTGCTCACGTCAAAAATTAACCAAGAGGCTCGGGCTGGAGAAAACCTGAAGGGATCCAGTCATACGGTTTCAACAGGTGAGGAAATGGCCATAGGGGAGGTTAGTACAGGTGTGCTCTTGCACAATGTCTTTCTTTAATCTAAAGGACATAGGTGGGCATGGCCTGGAAAAGAGGCCACTCCGAGGCTCCATATAGTTCCCGAGCCCCCAGCCCCCAACGCTTCTCTCGGCCTGCATCCCCTGAAAAAGGCAGCTATAAGAGGCTGCACCAGAGGCAGAGGGTCAGAGACAGAGACAACCAACTGCCCACTGCTTGCTGCTCTGCCCCATCTCCAGTGGTGACAGGTGGCTTTTATAGGGTATTTGATTCTGTCCCAGTTCATTGACTATCTGGAGATCTTTTCATTTGTTTGCTTGTTGTTTTGTGGTTTGTTTGTTTGTTTTTTTTTATTCGAAGAGGTCTCTTTTGCCTTCTGGCATAGAAAGATACTTACTATGGAAACAACGCTTCTTTCTTATGGGGACCAGCTTCAGGCCAAGGGCAACGTTTCACACTGTAGGAGTGGCTTTTGATTTAAAGAGCTTCTGGCAATTTGCTTTGGCATTGTTTATTAGAAGCCCTAGCTATGCCTATTAAAAATGAACAACTTGATTACATACACACAGAATCCCAGCTTTGCCTCTGCCAAAAAAAAAAAAAAAACCAGCACAGCAAAGAGGTTACAGAAATAATGTCTACAGAAGAGACATATGTTCCCCCCCACGAACTGAACCTAAGCGGAACTTCCTGCTGACACATTGTGTTGAAACCTGGAAATTTCACGTTGAAGCACAAGAGAACAGAGTGTACAGGCTCCAGCTTGCTTACCTGATTTAAGATATCAACATCATGCCGAGCACTTAGTAAGCTGTTCACAACTGTGGGGCGGTTGTTGATAACTGCTAAGTGAAGAGGGGACTCCTTAGGCTGCAGAAAGAAAAACATCAAGCTTCAGCATTCAAATCCCTGATCTCTGAGAGTTATGACAGTCCACCCAATGTCGGATCCACAGGAAGCCCTGAGCAGTCACCACCATCCGTAGGCTGCCTGTCGTTCTGGGCATACATAACAAGCACCTATTAAGGGCCCATCTCTTCAGGGGCTAGAGATTTATCTTTTTAATGAAGTGACACAGGTATTTAATTTCAAAGTTTAAGTGATTTAGAGGAAACAGCAAAGGTGCTGGTCTGGTATGTGCATCAAGGGAGGGCTAACCCTACTGGAAGCTAGAAGAGGCTTCCTTGAAGAAATGACAGCTGAGCTCAAACACAGATAAGGAAGTCTTAAGAAGGCTCAATTGAGGACTTCTCCAAGCCTTTAGAGAACCAAAGGACAAAAGGAGTGGCCACAGAGGAGGAAATGTATACACAGCACTTCCTGACGACTCATGAGCTACACTAAGTCCTCTAGATGCCTGGCAGGGCCGGTGTCTGTGCTTACTTGGGCCTCAGGGATCCTCTGAGGAGTCTACCCATGGTGGGTTGTGGCTAGTCTCAACAGCCCGCTCCTTCATCCTCTCCTTTTACTAAAAAACCACCTTCTTCACTTCACTCCACCTGGACTTTCTGACCTCTCTCCCCTCCTCCCCCCTCCACTCTCTATCTCAGACCATCAGACACAGAGTCCATCACCATACCCGGTCTCAAATGTCCCTGCCACCTCACTTCCACACAGCCACATTGGCCTGTGGAGTTCTCTGGGAGGAGGGAAGGAAGCTCAGGACTGAGGAAGAAGCAATCAGGAAAGGGTTGGGGTAAATGAGTAAGGTGAGGGCCAGGAAGCTGAGGAAGGGGAGAGGTAGGAGGGGCATTCAGACAGGGGTAAGTGCTGTCTTGAGATGCATGGAGACTCTGCAGCCCAGTAGTGGTAGCAGAGTTGCTGGGAACAGAGTAGAGGGACACAGATGTAAAGGAGGCTGGGAAGTTGGGATAGCCTGCAGTTCCACTCAAGTGCAGACACAACGTTGGGCGTAAGCGTCAGGCACACTCCACACATCCTCACAAGGTACTTACTACACACTCAGTATCCCCACATTTATCCTGTTTTAAACACTAGGTTAAGTACTGGGTGGTGGCACATGCCTTTAATCCCAGGGCTTAGAAGGCAGAGGTAGGTGAATCTCTGAATTCAAGGTCAGCCTGATCTCCAAGAGTGAGTTCCAGGACAGCCAGAGCTACACAGAGAAACCCTGTCTCAAAAAAACAAAAACATATGAACAGGTGTAGTGGGCTCGGCTTCCAATCCCAGCACTCTCAAGACAGGGAGAGGAGAGGATCTCAAGTGCCAGGCCAGGGGAGGACTGGCAGGTAATTTCAGGCTAGCTCAGGCTGCACAACGAGACTGTGGCTCACAACTAAGCAGAGAAACAACAGTAGGTTAAATGATAACCCTAGGAGCTGGGCCTTCTATCACCTACTTTATACACAACCAGATCAGTTACTCCACTAATAACAGGGAAGGGGCATAGCCAGGGCTTGAGCTCAGACTTCCCAGAGTTCTTCTTTTGCAGACTAGACTAGAGATGAGGGGCAGGAAAGGCTGTATGGTAGAGCCGAGTGAGAGGCTGTGTGAGAGGGAGCCAGGGGACAAGGTGGCACTGTGAGCATCCATGGGGTTAACCTGAGACCTAAGAAGACTTCAAAGCTCTCCTCTGCTTGGAAATCAGCTTCTCCTTCAAAGTACAAAACAAGAGCAAAGATGTGACATCCTTCATCTCAAAGTGGTAGGCAGTCTGGCCAGGGCCACCCGCTTTGCTGGGCCTGGCTTCTCCTGAGGATGAAGACACCTCCTTGGCCTGAGAGTGGTAAGCACAGAGCCAATCCCTCTAAGCCCACGCTCTAAAAACTTATCAGGCACGGCTCATGTCAAACCCCTCCTTCCAAGTTAGTGCCATAAATAGAAATGACTTGGCATAGCCAGAGGAAACAATATTCACAGAAGAGAGGAAAATACAGTGGGAGATAGAGGTATTTTTCTTGTCGGGTTCCAGCACAGAGGGCCTGTGTTGGTTCTGCTGAAGCCAATCCAAACTTCAGAAAAACCTCAATCAGGAATAAAGGATTGACTTTGAAAAAAAACCACAAGATCATTCTGAGACAGAGGAATGATCCATTTTCTTAACATCCTGAAGTGGCGGCAGCCGCATCGGAAACCGGCATTTCCCAGACGGATGAAATTCCTACCAGAGTCAAGGCACCTCTGACACCTGAGACTTACTGTAGCCAATCTATTTTAAAGACAAAGATTTTGTTTTGTGCAGGGACTTCAGTGACTTTCTAAAATTTACCCCTTGGATTTTATTTCTCATGATTAAGATTTAAAAACAAAAAAGGCTAATGTTCCCCCCAAAAGAATCCCTTCCTTGTGAAATATCTCATCTCCAGCGTGTCTCTGCCAGGGGCACTTGT